TAAAAAATCGTAATTCATGAATGAAGTAATTTTATTACAACAACGATAAAAATAAAAACAACAATAAAAATTAATTGGCGCTCCGGGGCGACTTCATTGATTCCAGTGGCGCATTTGCTTTTTCAGCTGCAGGAAAACCCGGAAAAACCTGCAGCACCACATCATCTGAAGATCTTGATCTAACAATGTCCTCTCTCTTATAAAACAAAATGTAGGGTGTTTCCAGAGGCTCCAATAAATTCAATACATCACCAGAACACTTCGTGACACGACTATCGTCAAACTTAAACCAATGAATGAAGTGTGTATTTTCTATAATGTTATCCAATTTGGTACTGAAGAGCCTTAGGGCAAGTGTCTTAAAGCGAAACATCGGTGTATACCAGTGAAGGTGACAGTGTTCCATGTGAGTACAATTTATTACCATTCTTTCAAAGTAGAACTCATGTGAATGATATCTGATTCTTATTCCACAACAAATGTTACAAATACAAACTGAGTAGAGAAAAGTATCTTCTGTATAATTCAGTGTTCATATAGAAGTATTTGTTTCGAAAGAATTTTTTTCTTTCGTGTAATTCAATGTTTATATGAAAGTAGCTGTTTCAGGAGGACTTTCTTTCAGTTTGTGTCTGAAAGTTACTTCTTTGCATGATCTACACATCCATGTATAGAGTTACTTATTTTCAAATTGATTACTTCCTTCCTTTCTTTGGAAGATTCTCTAGTCCTTTTTTTGTATCAGATGGAGTAGTAGAAAGCCAAAAACTTTCTTTCCCAAAAATTAATCACTCCTAAAAATATAACTCCTTCAATTCATTCATCAGATTCTTATAACGAGGTTGGAACATGATGAAGATATCAGTCATTTTTATTCATGAGTAAATTCTAAAAAAATACAGTGCATCCGAAAAATTATTTGAGGAAATATGATCTTATAGAACGGTTCTGAATGAAATATTTGACAGCTTTCTAAATCTTGATCAAGGATATCGAGGCATATTCCAGTAATTATTTCAGCACCAAACAAAACCGTATCTGATGATCGACACATTTACTATAATTATGACACACAGTTTCAAGTTAATTGATGCCCGCTTGGAGATTATCCGACGAGATACCGACTTAGATGAACCTTTGTGATAATGAAGATGTTCACTCAATCGGAACGCCTCCAAGTCAAAGTTCTGTCTATGATACGCTTTATTTCAATTCATTAGCGACTACTTTAAAATATCTCGTCGATCATTTCAGTTTTTTAATTAAGCAGCAATAATAAATCCATCTGAGATTTATGCAGTTGGCAATTACAGATCATATCGGGATTTGCTGGCATCGTAACAAGAAGAGTACACCCGAGGCGCTAATTTGTATGGTTCGACATCGGAATCTTGAGATCTTCACAGGGCACACCCAGGCGTTTCAAGTATTGTCAATTGATGAATAACGTCAGCATTTGTTGTAACAAATAGAGAAAATAAGTGTGAAGATAATGACACTGGAGGACTATATCAGATGAAAGACAACATAAATTATAAACTTCTTGAATTGAAGATGAAATTTGTTGAAGTTGTATTTTTTCAACTCTCAGACTATCAACCATATTGTTTTACTAGTTGTTGCCTGCGGCTTCTCTCGCCTAGAATTTGGTTTGTCACATAAAGTTTCGTGACAGACCATTTCAAACGAATACTTAAAAATATTTTTTATCAACCCAAAAAACCACTTCAAAACTGGCGAATTTCAATATAATCTTTGAATCCCTATTTTATTCCTTGGAAGTGAAAATTCCTGGTTGCCTTTCTTGATGCTTATTTATGCTATACAAAGAACCTACCTGCATAGTTCAAGATTCTAGGTTCAGTAGCTTCAGCTGTACGTTCATATTACAGCGGGTAACAGCTAGTAATTTATATTTTCACTTTAAAAATATAGTATCCGAAAAACTATGCCAACTGCACTAATTAATGAATAGCTTCGAGAATTGAATTATGTTACCTATATGTTATGTTCCTATACTGGAATCAATCAAGTCGCCCCTGAACGCCAAATAATTTTTATTATTGTTTCATAATTTCATTTTATATGTTTGTATTGAATAATTTTGTTCTGTCAGAAAACATACTGAAAACGACAATTGTATACATTTTTATAAGAATTCGACAGATATTCTAAAATGTTATTGCATTGTAATTCGATTGTATTTATGGCTCAGTATTTTGCATATAATGGATACAACATAAGAGGTAGATATATGCTATTGCGGACTTGTATTTAGAACAATTTACATCTCAATTGAGGAAATAGTCGAATAAATATCGATGAAATATTGTCTTTCAGTTTGAATATCATCATACAGATTATATGAGGAAATTATCAATGGCGATTCATAAGAATCCGACAGACTGACTATTTGCCTATTTCGATGACATGAGGAAATCCAAAATATCAATTTATATCCTAAAAAAATCATCGAACAATCTTATTCACAAAGTATTGTTTATTTTTGAAAATCCTACCTACGCTTCTGAGTAAGGCCATTGCTTATTACAGAAGTCTAAGCTTCGCAACTTTACTAATCATTATCTTCGAAATCACCGAGTATATACATTTTAAGACTGAGTGATTTGATTTGTAAAAAAGTGATAGTGTTAACGATGTTCAAGTCGGTTTCACCCTTTAGATATAGTGGTAATTGAAATTAAAAAAGGAAATGATCAGGGTGAGTTTAGACTTATTTTGAACACTCGTATCCCTTTTGCGAATTCAATCGGGTACACATGATATATCTCCTCCTAGGAAGGTAATCTTTTTCACTATATTTTTCATTCAAATTGTTCATACGGTATTCAAAATGTTCATTAAGAATTTTGGTTATACAGCCCCTATTTTTAAATGATGGTGGACATTCCAATGGTGATAGCCCTTGCTCGTAACATTCTAAAATCAAATTTATTTTCTATCAATTCGTTTTGATCATTAAACGTCTAATAACCCAATCGTGATTCAACTACCAAAGCTAACACAAATTACTATTTTTTCCGTTCACTTTCGTCTTGTTGGCGCCGGCCTTACCACTTAGAAAAAGCTGATTTCTCTAAAAATCACCTGAGTTGCATGTTCGAATTGTCAAACCTTTCCATTACTAAATTCAATCAAAATGTTTCCAATCACATTAAAAGGCCATTGGTGCATTTCATTAATACTAATGTTCATGAATGAATACTCGGCTTGAGGTTGAGCAACGGCGTGGTGAAATTGTGCAAGAAATCGCCATATATGGAAGCAGATGAATGAACGGGGTGACATGTTGTGGCGACTAGATTTGTGAATGGCTTACGTAATCGCGACAACGAATACCTCGAGGCGATACCGACTTGACTATTCATTGCCACACTTCAGGATTTGATCTTACTACCAGCTGTAGTTAATGAACGAAAATACATGATTTTAGCAATTCACTTGTAAGGTTATTCAGTTGTTGATTTGTCGTTTTTCAAAAAGCATGAATATGTATTATGTCATGCAAGTAGTGCATCATTTAAAAATAGTGTTGTATTTTTGGCTTACAACAAATTCCTCACATAAACAATGATATATTATTAAAAGGACTGCAACAAAATCAGTACAATCGTTTATGTATTTCCATTCTCATCGTTATAAACTGAAAGAGCTGGAGTATGCAACTGTATGTTTATTTCATCGAATGTTTTTTCGTTCCATCACTTTGATTTAGATATACTATATTTTTAGTTAATGTTACTATAGATACTGTAGCATTTACTGAAATTATATTATTGAAAACATGCAAGAAATTACCCCAATTTGTAATATTGACATCAGTTGAAATTTTAAATACTCAGTCATGTTATATTTTTATTTATTGAATTCCTTCAGCACACAGGGTTTTTAGCAAAAGGCCAATTCACAAGCGTGTGTTAAATTTACATAACCGAGTCTCAGATGTGTATTTCACTTGAAAATTTTGCCTTCTTAGTACTATTTTCCATGGTTTTACTGATTTTATGATTTGTCAAGTTTATTCAGCGAATAAGTTATTATTGGGTCCGAGAAAAATGTGGTCCAGGCAAGCAAAACAAACGAAATGAATCAAAAATGTATGTCCGGCCAAAATTTCTGCGTTAGTATGGGAAGTCATCTTAATCCTGCGATTCGATGGTTGAGAGAGCATATCACGGACTTCCATAATCCGGGCAATCATTTCAACAGAATGATCTGAATAGAGTCTGCGGAGTGAGAAGACGGCAACTGCTACAGTCATCTTCAGTGGCGTGGTCGAAGTACTCTTCTTGACGTGTCAACTGAAACTGAAGCTCCCATTTCTGCCGTGTCATTTATAGTGCTGATTTTTCGCGCACTTTCTGTAATGGCGTGTTCACAAGTACTTTCCGCGCGATTTGGTTGACTAGGCTTCGTTTTGTCGATTTTCAAAGCTGTATGCCAGATCTTTGGTAGATATGTCGTCTTTTTCTTTTTGTTAAAGTTCTCTTGGTGTTTGTGTATTTCTACCCTACCGAAAGCTGAGCTGATCATGCACTGTCCCCAATAAATTGCGCCAGCAATATTAACCAGTGGCCACTCCCAACACAGTGAGGTGAGTGATCAATGGATCCAAGAATCATATATTCTAAGCAGACCCAATGAGTCAAGAAGCCTTCTGCATTTGTTCAGCCAAGATTTCTGCCTTAATGCGGCAAGTTGGCATGATATTGGGATTTAACCCTACAATGCTCAATTTTCCGTATTTATATGAAAAAAATACGGGTTTGTTCAGAAAGTTCTCAAGAATTCCCTAAAAATTACAAGATTTGGGCATTGGTGTTCCACATGTTATCGAAGCGTTTGACTGTTCCTTTCGGCACTTCTCCCACGAAAGTTGACATCAATGAAACATTTCAGTTATCTTTCCATAGGACAATAGAAATATCAGCACCATCTGAATTGCAGACATATTCACAGGAATTTCCTTGGTCAAATTTTTAAATTTTTTCTTCTGAAGGCAACTTGCAATTATTGGGAGCCCGATTTCTTCTCACAGTTCCTAGAGGAAATATACCTCTACTAGCCAGAAATGACATGAGCGGAACTGATGTATAGTAATTATCAAAGTAGACCACATGATTCAAATTAGTTGGAACCTCTCTGGATAAACGTATGACAGTATTTGAAGCTGCTCCCAAATCTGGTTCATCTGGTAGTCTGAATTTTGGCTGATTTTCGGCATCACTATAAATTTCGAAATTATAGGAGAAGCCACTAGCTCCACAAAGAACGAACAGCTTATAACCCCACTTATGAGGCTTTGCTGGCATATATTGTTTCAAATGATGCCTTGCCTTTGTGGCACATAACTGTTCATCCACTGATAGGCTTTTTTCCAATGGGACTCTCTGAAATTTCAACGACAGGGCCTTTATAATGGGTCTCAATTTATGAAGCCTACCATGTATTTCGTCTTCTCTGGGTAACATGTTCATATTATCATTCAAATCAATTACTCTTCTTATAGCTTCAAATCGATTTTGACTTATAGTCTCTTTTACCTGTGTCAATCCTAAGCGACTACTCCAAAATGATCTGACATTAGGCAACATGTGAACGATGGACATATGCCTAAATATTTTTGTAAATCAGCAACGGTTATTGTTGTTGTCTCATTTGGATATTTCTGAACCATATAGAGATTTGATTCATCAACTATATTCTGCAATAGTTCATCGTCAAAAAAATATTTGAAGAAAGCAAATGGTGTTTCCAATTCCATGAATCTATTACCAAGTGTTTCACTTCCTTTGAAAGTTTTGGCATCTTCGTCTAAAACTAAATTTCTTTTTCTCCATGTGACTTCAAGTTTTTTCTTTTTATTTCTATTGGTTTCCATCTGAGCTTTAGTAGTTTCAGCACCATCCTGAATATCAGTTTCGACATTCTCATCTATCTCATTATTCTGCCCAATTTCATTCACCTCATATTTCTCATTGGACTCTAATACATATCCATCATCGAATTCAATTGGAAGATTTTGTATTTCGAATTCCTCTAAAGCCTCATTTATCGAAATTTTCTCTTCATGTCTCTCGCCATCAGAACAATCGAAATCATCTTCACTATCTGATAAATGTGCAATACATTCCTCTAAGTCGGTATCTGTAAGGTATTTCTTCGCCCAAAGCATCCTGAATGAAAAGCGCTATGTCTCAAATTCGATACATCCAAATATATAGTCGAGCCTGTGATGGAAAAATGAAGCATCGACCTTACCTTTATGAACAAGACACAATAATTTGGAATAATTGTTCACAGAAGAATCACACAAATTTGATAAATCGTTTATCACGTGTTCGCTTCAAGCATATAGCGATAGCGGGCTTTTGAAAACTTATAAACAGTAACCGACCATGCGCATCGAAAATTGGATCTTAACTAACGCATTCATAGAGCTGTTCTGAATATGCGACAAAACGTTTTGAGCACCCAGTACGGATTCAATTGCATTGGAGGGTGAAGTGACTTTGGTGGTAATAAAACATTCCCAGTGTGAAACTTTCACTGTAGGTGTATTGATCTAGCCATGAAAACAAACTTTTCGAAAGTTTTCTCACAAATTGAAATTTAGTAGTTGCAGATGACATACTATTGATGACAGGGCGTTGTTCTTCTGTATTACAACATTTGGATTCATGGCAGCGTTCTCAGGCGGTGCCCACAAACCACAAATTATTGAGAACCTATCTTCAATCGATATTTTCAAGCCAACTGCACCACATTTGATAATAAAGATAATAAAAAAAAAGAACGTTACTTAGTTTCTCTCTACCCGAAAAACAGCAGCAATAGAAACCGAAACTCATATATGGCGTATTTTCAAATTTCAATTACATCACAACGAACTATTTACAGAATATATACAAGGCTTGTCAAGACTGAACACTCTAGGCCACGTCGGGTCGATGTAGATACGCTGCATATGCCAGACATGCTGACAGAACGTGCATTATGGTTTCAGGCGCCCTGCAATAGGCCTGCACCTGGTTTACAACTGCGCTTTTATACACATCACGCGACTACAGTAGACCGAAGTGTTGAAAACACCATCTTGGCAGGCCATGAGAAACACTTCAGTTGGCGAATCCAGGCCACTTCAGTCCCAATCATTCGATCATTCCTGTGCTGCCTCAGGACTGAAGTGATATCTGCGACTTTCATGTTGGCCTTCTGCTGAATGGGTTTTAACTCGGTGACAGTTGTATCTCCAGCATCCAGATGGTACAGAATGCTTTCACCTACGAGCTGCATATTCTCTTCGTAATGAACGTTCACGACGTTTCGATTGTTAGTAACCAGAATCGTCTTCAAGTGATGATGAGTGTAATGAAAATATAGGTATTACTGAAATTTATGTGATACATAAAAGCGTAGGTAATAATAATAATAATAATACAATTTCACTCAGATCAAGTTCAAAAGAATAAAAATATTGATTTCGAGATATGGGTTGATATTAAAATGGATAATTCAATGAAAGTTACTTCAACTTTCATTGAAGAAGGGCAACTTTGCTACTGACTATCCACTATTCAATTTGAAATGACCCAAAATGAAATGAGAATAGCTCCAGGATATTAATTTCAGCTGATGGACTGAATATACTTTTGCTTATCGACCTTAACTTGGTCCGGCGAAACAGATGCTGCTGATTGAACCCAATGCTGTCAGACAAACAAATGAAAGTATAAACCATCCACATCATCCGTTTACTCATTACCAACCGACCAGTGATGTTATAATTTCTTCAATCACGAGTCTCACAAATAGTATCACTTTCATTAAAAATATTAATCAGCCGAAATAATCGTCACGGAAGTTATCAGTGTTTNTAATGCTGGCGCGCCCTCCCGAATGTATCGGGGCTTCGGGAAATAGGGCCTGACCCATCGCACACTACGGTGAAAGAAAAAAAAATGGACTTGGCGGAGTTTAGCTTACGCTATTCTACCACTCAATTAGGAAATAGTTGTGACATTTCTTTTAGAAATTATAAAGTGATTGTTTCGAAATATATCAATTATTTTGGTCTCAGTTCTTGAACATAAGCTAAAGAATCATTATTCAGTATCAAGTCTAGTTAGGGAGGTTTGAGAAAAGTCTATTTACTGAAGATTCAGGATAAGAATTTCGAAATAGAATCTAACTCAAATCAGACAAACTTTTGTATCGTAAACTGGAATGAGTGATTTTAGTAATTCTGTTTTTTAATGGTTTCATCAAATTGATCTTCATTTCACTGAAACGACGAGAATAATAATTGATGAATCTATTACTAGACATAGGTTTTCTGTGCCATTCTCCGACTATGATATTTTGTTCCGATCTTATCAATTTCATGTTGAGAAAAGGAAGACACTTATTCATTTCTTATTCGATTGTGACGTGAATATATTTGTATCAAAAGAAATAAAAACTTTTTTTTCAAGGACAAAATAGAAGCACTACAGGAAAATCCTTAAGGCACTATCAGAGCGGTGCCTGTGCGAAAGTGGCGATTCACATTGGATTTGAATCGTTGGAGATTAAATCCAATTGGAAAAACTTTCTCAGGAAGTTTATTTCACATAAACGTTGTTCTCCAGATGAAAAAGTATTTGAACAGTGAAGTTCGAGGTGTATTAAGTTGAACCTCAAAACGATGAGCAGTCCGTCGCGTATTTCTGAATATGTACCGCTCTTGATGGAATCAAATGTACCAAGTCACTTAAACACTTGCCGTGAAAGTATCTATAGAAGAGAGACAAATCTTCAACCTTCTTTCGATGTTCCAGGCTATCAAGGTTGCATGTGATGTTCGCGTCTCCAATCAGGTAGATGGCTCTTTTCTGGATGGAATCCAGCAACTTCAGGGTATGTTTGGAGGCAGAGCTCCATACATGAGAACAATACTCCAAAGAAGGTCTGATCTAAGCTTTATAAAACTTTCAAAACTTCTTCACCATCTGAAGGGATCGCTGAAATCACTCTATAAAACGCTTGATGAAAGGAATGCAAAAAGATAGTTTTGGAATGATTTCATCAAGAAGCTCATCTGGAACATAATTGGATGAAATGGATGATATTGTTAAACCCATTGGTGTACCAAATATTTGTTAATATGCGATTTATCATTAAATACATATTAGGTTGAATCAAAGATGAAGTCTAGAATTTTCTTGAAAATAATTTTGTTTAGGTTACATTGTTCTTCATTGATATTCTCATTATCATGCATACATTGTTTCACCATTTCCTAAGACAGATTTGTAAAAAGTGAAACAAAGTCTTGGCTTATTTCATCAGTTCCGACTTCCATTGTCTAATATGATATTAATTTACCTAAAGCTTGACAGACAACAAAGAGTTTAACATATTTGGCATTCGAAGACAGTAGAAAACTCTTTGGAATTCCATGGAAGCTGGTGGCATTATTTTCGCCACATCTAGAACGGTAGCGAACATCGAACATTCGCGAAACGTCCATTGGACTGGGTGCTTTTAGATACGTCAACATTAGTTTTTGGCTACCAGTAGCGGCTGGCGTTATTTTCTTCGGGGCATGGTTTAAAACACTACCCCCTTCCCTAAGGTTGTTCGTCCACCCAACAACACCCAAGACGAAATATCGCGACCTATGTAAGGACTCAGTCTCTTTATGTGGACAACTTTGGAATTGCTTCTGGGTGACAATTGAAATATTTACACCAGATCGTTAATCTCTTTGGTTACCAAGTGAGGTCCTCTATAAATTTAGACACAAACCTATTCGACGTTGGAGTTGATAGAGGCATTCTGCATCGTCCACCTTCAAGCTTACCGGCAGCAAATTTTTGTGAAATGTTATCGTCATCCTGTCGTTGCGCTGGAAAGCTGTAATTTGGATATGGCAAACTTTTGAACAATTTCCTGTCTCTCCTTCAGGTCATTCACATACTCTGAAATAGGTACACCTTGGAACTCATCGGATGATCTACCACACAGTACATCTATGGGAAGCACCAGTTCTCGACAAGTTAACAACATGGTTGGTGTGTAACCTGTCGCATGATACCGTCGGTCTATCTCCAGTGGCTGTTTCCTAAACAGGTACTGCTGATAACCCATTCAAACTGCTTCTGTTGGAAATGTCGGTTCTCATTACTGACCTTGTTGCATCAGTATCGATGGTGGAAAGTCACTGGTAGTTATTCAAAAATACATCGGCAAGCTGTTACTGTTACGTCCTATCATGGAACTCGAATACCTGGGAGCTTGGGATGCGGCAGCCAATGTACTTCTTTCAACGCTAGCTGAATTTAGTTTTTCCAAACTCCGGCGCTACAGTTCGCGTAATCTCGAACGCCAGTCTCTTCTTTCGTCGGTTACAGGATGTGATCGAGAGTCCGGCCCTAAATATTTTTTTCTGCTACAGTTATAGCATTCAAGTCGCCCTCTTCACCAGAACTTTCCGTTGTTGTCGCGAGCATTTTTGGCAGCTTCAAATTCTAGGGCATGAATGAATAGCTTCATTCAATTTTTTATGACGCGCCATCCTCAACGACTGCTGCAGCTCAGTGTCACGAGCTGCTACTGCTTCATAATCTTTCTGCTCACTTACTGGGATATTTTGCAAGATTTCGAAGGCCTTTCCTCATAGTGCCAGTATGAGAGCTGTTGCTTTCCATTCATTTTTCCACCCATAATTTTCCGCAGCGTCCTCAAATTGTCTGCGATGAAGTGACTATGAAAATTCACAATCGAAGGTCGGATTTTTAATAAAACTACTACAACCGCTTTGCAATATTCCGCAGCAATCCTCTTCGTCTCCGGTAATTTTTTCCGAAGTTCCCGGAAAACCTTTTCTAATTTTTTGTCGACTCCTTCAAACCTTTTGTCGACTCCTTCGAGCTTCATTTCAGATTCCCTTTCGACTCCCTCAAGTTCCTCATCGACTACTTTTTCCAATCCCTCCTTTGTTTTCTGAAATGCTTTTCCAAATTCTTCCTGAATAAATTTCTGTACCTCCCCTTTTCACTTCAAATCTTCCAATAAATGAAGGTACATTTGATTGTCTTTTTATTGTTTCACCTGAATATTCAATAATAATTAACGGTCTTCATTTCAGCGTAATTTTTCTTCCTCCCTCCTTCGTTCACCTTTTTCATTTCGACGTAATCGTTCTTCCTTCCTACATCGCTCATCTTTTTCATTTTGGCGTTTTTCATTCTCCCCCAGGCTCGCTTGTTAAGCCTAGATCATTTTCTCAAGCTTTTCCATCTCGTCGTAATCGACACTTGTTTTCACCATACCAATAATTGACTACACTGAACAATGATCAAACTCAATCAATAACTGTATTTCACTATCAATACAACAAAACACTTTAACTAAAACTTCAGCTATTATTCCAATGTTTATCTCCTCATTAGATCGCTCCGCTTACCGCACTGTCACTGAAACTTGACTATCCCGATAGGTGAGTGGATCGCGTTTATATTTGACAATCGAAGGCGGTAGAAATCTCATCGGATTTCCATGGGAGCCGGTGGCATTATTCTCGCCACTTCTAGAACGGCAGCGAACATCAAACATTGGAAAATTCGGTCAGACTGGGCGCGTTCTTAGCCACGTCACTATCAGTGGCGGCCGGCATTATTTTCTTCAAGGCATGATTTACAGCACAATGAAAATTACGAAAAAAAATCGAATTACGAATTTCGGGGTGAAATTTGGTATGTGAGGTCAAAATCAATGTATAGGGAACTTTTTCAAATAACTCATTTTGGTATCTCCAACGCGAAGCAAAACATCGAGAACTTTCCCTTTTCGCAGGATCGCAGTAGGATGGTTTAAGGCTATCAGTCGGGCTAGATGGCTTGAGAATGCGATTTTCATCAACACAGTATTCTCATACATATTCTTCTATCTACATGTAAAAATTGAAAGATTATTTTTTTATATTATTATTATATTTTCTCGAAGTTTTTCAAATTTTGTATTTTAGATTCACTGCTCGAAGTATAGAAATACAAACATTATATCTGTTGGAAATACCAGAACGAGAGGTCATTTTTGAAATGGTTACCTATCTCAACCATTTTCCTTTCCTCTTCGGACGATATTCGTCATAGCATAGCATGCTCATCTTGCTCTGATGAGCAAGAGAACTATATTAGAAGCATGAGCTTGAAGGGCCTGAGGGTTGGGAATAATTAGTTTCAATAAATTCCGTACTTCTCATTCCCCACAATGGATTCAATTGCGTTTGAGGGTGCCGTAGGTAGCATTAAAGCACTCCCAGTATGACACATTATACAAACTGTATGTGCATTAGTTTAGCCACCAAAAAAAACTTTCCGGACGTTTTCTTACCAATGAAATTCGAGTAATTGCAGCGAGCGGTGCCCACAAACCACAAATGGTTGAGGATAAACCAATATTCTGAAGCCAACTGCACCACATTTTTTCGCGTTAATACAAAAAAATGTTACTCAGTTTGTCTCTACCCAAAAAACAACATTAGAAACCAAAACTTATATATGGGGTTTTTACAAATTTCGATTTCTTCAATGATAATTGACGCCCCGCTCATGACAGAATTGTAAAAATAAACCTTATATGTTTTGAAAAGATCACAAAAGAATATTCATTTCAATATGAAAAATACGCGATCGAGGTAAATGTGATTAAAATGTGATTAAAAATTTTTGTTTCATTTGCTTATACATTTTTATGGATCATAATAATTTTAGGTGGTACTAAAAATATTGCCAATTTGATGAAGATAACATAGGCTAGCAACAATTTTACTATAAAAACAGTGGTCATTTTTCTCTTTCAAAACAATAACCCATAAATTCTCTCGTGATAATGCTTCTTAAAATAATTGTTTTCATCACATACAGTCTAACTTTAGAAGTGACATGTGAAGGAGGTAAGCTGGTGTGATTTCATTTAGGTGTAAAACATGAATTGAATGAAGGTATATTCATGGCTAAACCGTACTGATGATCTTGTGATACACCTTTGGTGTAGTAATGAATATTGCTGGAGTTTTTTCCCCAATATCAAACCGTTATTTTAACACTTCGACATATGTTTCGATCACCAAGTGATCATCTCCAAGATAAAAATCAAACAGTTTGATCTTGATCTGTGGTACGCCAGACTTAGCAATTATCGTGTCTGATTTGTATCCGTTGTAATAAACTATTTGGTTACGGTTAAAAAGGTACAATTCAAAAAAGCCCAGTAGTTTATTACTAAGGTCATTGAAGTCTTGCTTATACAAGATAATTTCAAACGCCTTCATGAAGTTTGAGATAATCGAGATTGCTCTGTAGATTGTTATTTTTGAAGCATCTCCATTCTTCAAATTTTGGTAAATTTTGGCGTTTCCAAACATCAGAAAACGTTACTGTATTCAACAATAAATTGAAGGTGCAACAGAGAGGAGAAGCTAGGACTGAGCTACAGTCTTTCAATATGAAAGATGGTATAGAACTGAAAACGGAAGTCATTTTATTCTATTGTTTTCTTTATCGCTCCTGCCACTTCATTTACCGAAATGTTTGTGATATTGATATTTTGTTAGTTACTTACCTATCCTGAACAATCACTTGAATTTGAATTTTCAAGAAGATACAACGTGTATCTTCTTGCTAAAGAACTCTGCAAACGCGTTGACTATATCTCAAGGGATATCTAGTTTTTGATTGGTATAGTTGATTTTACCAAGAATTCGTGACTTTTTCTTCGATTGAAAAGTTCGTAGCTTACATTAAACAGAATATAAAACCATAAATGGAACGATATACCTGGAACCGAGGTGAAATTATTTTAACCAAAACTTTGATAACCTTCAATCCCGAAACTAATAATTTCGTAACAACATGGACAACCACTCTCCACATTGATCAGCCTATACACCTAAAAGTGTTGATCAATCCTTTCCTACTGAAAAATATTCTTTCTGTTTCTGATTTTATTCTCCTACTTCCTACTTCCTACTTCCATCATGGTCGCAATAATGTTGGTAACTTTTGTTATCATTTGGCAAATAATAGATTCGTTGGAAACTGTCTAATTGTTTGTGTTCACCGGTATTCATTTATGTCCCACCAGATTAACTTTTCCTGTAGATGTATCCGTAGGGAACACATCATTTAAATTTTTTCCAAATTTTCATTTTCTTAAATTTTTTTCCATTTTGATTTTTTTCCATTTTCCATTTTGTTTTTCTAGTACTAATTTGTTTCCAGAATTGTTGTTGATATTATTGTATTCTTTTCTCCACGTTTCATAAATATACCAAACATACAAACATTGTCTGCTCTTGGTTTTCAACAAAAACATGATTTCTATGAACAATATTGCACCGCCTAGGTGAGTTTTATTGAATTCAGATTCATATTCAAGTCGATTCATTTCGGAACCATCATTACTTGTTTCCAGCAGCAGCCTCAAGGGATGGCGAGCAGGGCAACTACTCATTCAGGAACCTCAGGCAGTGACTCTTATAGAAAAACAATTTTCAATCCTCAAATACTGAAACATAACAGATTCAAATTTTGATCCTCGCAAACTAATACCTCGATTCGCCGCTCCGCTTTTTACAATTACTTCATTTGATATTTACGTTCGGAAAACCTCCGAGACGATTCCTCACTTATTCTAGTAGCCACAGAAATATACAGTCGAAACAATGAATAATGAGTATACTATGCAATTAGCCACAGAGATATATACTGGAAAAATTGAATATTAAGTGTACTATACCATCAGAGTACTCCTCAAAATTATTGCCACAACGCCTGTGAATGTTACGTCCGTAGAAAGCAGGTTTCCGAAATTGAAAATAATTGGAATATATTCGAAATATATAATGACATATATGATAGAGAAGGAAATAAGTGAGTGAAATTGATTGGAAATAAGTTTGAAAGAACAGAGTGAGTAGAACGACTATAATAAAATAAATATTGTACTGAGAAGTGGGTGACCTCTGAGAAGTCGATTCGGGAAACCTTCTTATCGCGGTACATAAAGACAATACAGAGTCGCATTTAGGAAACATCAAAATGAGTAGCGACGAAGAATCGATGACAGATGGAGGGAAAAGGAAAAAAGATACTGGAAAGTTTGCAGATATATTCTTTAAAAGCAGAAAAATTAACAGAACACCTGAAAGAAAGAAAAAAGAAGAAGACGACAAATTAGAAACTATCATCACAATGATTCAAGAAATGAAAACGGATATGAAAAAGGAACTCAAACAAATAAGGGAAGAACAAAAAGAATATAGAAATGAAATGATACAAATCAAAACGGACAATGACATACTGAAAAATAAAAATAAAGAACTGAAAGAAGAAATTAAAAAATCAATAGCAAACTTGACAAAATAGATAGAGAAACGAGAAGAAATAATGTGGTTATACAAGGACTACCAATCACAACAAATGATGAAGAGGAGTTGAAAGAAGAAAAGACTTCATTCATTAAAAATAGTATAGACATCGATTTAAAAATAAGAAATGCCAGAAAAATATGTGATAAAATGTGTCTACTACAATTGGAAAACTCAAACGAAAAACAGAAAGTGATGAAAAATAAAAACAAACTCAGCAGTATCAATGAATACAAGGTATATGTAAATGATGATATGTCAAAAGAACAAAGAGAAATAGAAAAAAAGATACGAAATCAAGCTAAAGAAGAAAGAAAAGAAGGAAAACATGTGAAAATTGGATATAGAAAACCAGAGATAGATGGAGAAAAATGGTATTGGAAACTAGAAAGAAAAGAACTACAAAAAGAAAAGAAAACACCAATCAATACAAAAAACTGATAATGAACACAGGAAACATCGAACAAAGAAGAAAACGGTAAGGAATTCGGATTACGATATTAGGAAAAATGAAATGATAACGAGAAGTGGCAATGAAAATAATAAAAAAAATGCATGGTTACTAGGAACGTGGAACACTAGAAGCTTGATTGGAAAAGAAATTGAAATAGTAGAAGAATTTGAAGGGAACAAATTGAAAATACTAGCAATAACCGAAACGAAAAAAAGAAAAATTTTGGGAAAAATTGACAGAAATAACCGAAAATGCAAGAGGAACAATGATAGTTATGGGAGATTTTAATAGCAGAGTGGGAAAACAGGACCATATATACAAAACAATGTTAGGAAAATATGGAGAACAAACCAGAAATGACAATGGAAAGAGAATGCTTCAATACTGTCAATTACAAAACCTGTTCATTACAAATACATTTTACCAACACAAAAACATAAATAAATTCACAAGAGTACAAGAAAGCAGAGGAGAAAAATCAAGAATTGATTACATTCTGGTACAGAAAGAAAATAGGAACAATGTTCTAGATGTTAGAGTTCGGAGGGGAGCAGAAATACACAGTGATCATTTTCTATTGACAATAAAAATCAAAGGAGACGCAACAGAAAAGAAACAAGAAACGGTGACTAAGAAAGGTGAACACATCACGATCAGATCATATAAAATGAGAGACACAACTGTAGCTACTAGATATAAAGATATTACCAACGAAAAACTTGAGAACAAATACAACGTCATTAAGAAAGCAGAACTACAAGAAGCGTGGAACATTTTTAGAAATGTTATCATAGAAACAGCTATCAGTACATGTGGCACCTACAAAACAAATAATAATAGAAAACAGACATCATGGTGGAACGGTGATATAAAGGAGGCTATGAAAGAAAAAAAAATACAATGGAAGAAATACTTGAATAATAATATAACAGAACAGTATGAAATATATAAAAACCGAAGAAAACAAGTAAAAACATTAGTTAATAAAGCAAAAGAAATGTCATGGATTGAATTCGGTTATAAACTAGAAGAAGACAGTAAAAGTAACCAAAAACTATTCTAGCACTAAAATCCATGAGATCAGATAAACCCGTAAAAGACATACAAATCAAGAATCCAAAAGGTGAAATAATCACAAACGAAATAGATATAATGAAGAGATGGAAAGAATATTTCCAGACACTACTAGGACAAGGTAATGAAGAAGGATCAATAGAAACAACAGAAAGGAACCAGTTAAACGAAAGCGAACCATTGATAGAAATGCAAGAATTAGATGAAGTAATTAAAACATTGAAGAATGGAAAAGCACCAGGAGAGGACAAAATAACATCAGAAATGATGAAAAACTTAGGAGAAACTGGAAGAAAGAGCCTACTAGAAATAATCAATAAGGCATGGAAAAAAGAAACTATATTAGAGGAATGGGGAACAGCTCTAATAACACCGATACATAAAAAAGGAGACTACAAAAATTGCAATAATTATAGAGGGATTACGCTACTGAATACCATAACAAAAATAATAGAAAGAATAATTAACAACAAACTCAGGAATAAAATAGAGTCACAACTCTCAGAACCACAAAGTGGGTTCAGGCCCGGAAGAAGCACACAAGACCACATCTTCACAATAAAACAAATAATAGAAAAGNCGAGCGTCATTTTCAAATTTCTGCGAGGATATATCTTTTGAGTCATTTATATGCACCGTAGTTTTTCATTATTAAAAAACCACGGTGCTGAAAGTTTGTTTATCAATTTTCAGAAAAACGTATTTTCGAAATACTTACTTTTCCACATTTCTCCACTCCGTCGAGAAATGTCTACCACACCTGTGTGTTGAAGTTTCCGTCGCAGGGGTATATTCATCCCACATATTGAATTTTTTATTTGAACTTCGTTTTCTTCCATAATAATTCGAATGCAGTTTCTGTCGTTTCTGTGTATGTGGACAGTTCAAACTATGGTAACTTTCACTCATAATATTTTTCTTGTAAGAGCACTTCTGATTTCTCACAAAGTTTAGGCTTTGACTTCTTCAAACTATTGTTTTCTCATGTCCACAGCCCAACCCTTCATAAATGATACCACTTTTTCTTCCATCTGATTTCCGCCTCATCACCTACATTGAAAAATATCGTGATGATATTTATGGCGTTTCCCTATGATAGAAATCATATAGCTCTACTTTTCATGGAGGTCACATTGCAAAAGTCTATAAATGTTTTCCATACATTGTTTGTTCTGTAAACAGTACATTTTGAAATATAAAAAATATTACATTTCGTCAATTTCATAATCAAATCGTGATATCATTGAATATTTGATATTTCTGAATCGCAATAAATCTTATTGTTTCCAATAGCGATGTACTGGAGTTTTTAGTGTGACTGATTGTGTTTCATCAAATCTCAAATCTGTATTGAATTTATGGAATTATTTTCTGGTTCTAGAATACTACTGGAGACCTTGGACTCGTGGTTCTCCACCTGAAGATGCTATAACTGCTCGAGACCACAGAGGAATTTCTTACATTGTTGAAGCTTATGCTCCCAATCTTGGTATTTTCATCGGACAGGCATTTGTTCACCAGCACCAAATCAATATTTCGGCCTTCCATGTGAATACAACGCTCATATCACAAAAGAGTCATGCTTTGAAGGTAACACGATATGTATCAAACAATATGCCTGTTTGAAAACTCTCAAATACATTTTAGTATTTTTCTGAAATATGAAATGAATCCAGGCACAATTTCCTGACACGTTTAAATATATAAAACGTGATCAGTTTTCATTTACTTTTTTTTCAAAATTTGTTTTTTTTACCGTTATCAAGCTGTTTTTTTATAAATGAACAATAATCAAACAGATATCCAAAACATTCATCAATATTCGAGAAGATGTGAAATTTGAATTAAAGGGTTGCAGTTTCTGGAGCTCATCTGGTGAAAAAAAAATACGATATTAAAACTGGTTACGGAAATATAGAACAAAAAGCAAATTTGATGAAGTCAGTTTTCCGTAATTCGAACAGTAGATAATTGTGTGAGAATCGATACTTTCATTAACATTTTCTGCATTTTCTGGACCTTTTCACTTTCCCTAATCTCAAAAACAGGAGATAAGTAATGAAGGAATCCATAGCGGTGTAGGAAAGACAAAGTTCATCGGACAAATTACTGCATGAAATACATGTAATACATTTCTCAATAATCTCCATTTTGAAGAAATATATAGAAAGTAACTTTTGAAATTCTTTTCATTTTTTCGATAGGCAAATATTTTAATAAAGCAAGTTACTGATGAACAGAACATTTTCCTTTGAGAAAAATATATTTATTTCGCACCGCACATATGGGGGTGGTTTCACTAATGTCTCGCTTGCGTTTACGCAGTTATTTTTATCAAGTAATTTTCTTGGTTATTCACATTTTGTCTTCAATCGAGGACCGCCTGCCCTGTACTGACGATGCCCAATAGGCTAAAACAGCTGTCTACCGTAGGCTCTTAAATTGAAAACAATATGGCATTGATCAGAATAGTACTCATCTATTTATCTTTTGATTTTCATGGAATTAGTTTTCAGCAGCTTGAATGCATTAACTTTTCTCGATTTCATATCGTTTTTAGAAACATGTGGATTCGTTTTCCGATGGTATTTCAGCATAACTTCCCAAATTTCTGCTACCGCAGTTGTCTGTTGATTGGTGAAACCACCAACACTGGCATTAAAACTTGGCAAGTTGACTTGGATGTCGCACCAATAGGTGGTTTCACTAATGTCTCGCTTGCGTTTACCTAGTTATTTTTATCAAGTACTTTTCTTTTAGGAAAGCTACCTTTCCAGCGTTGGATGAGTAACCGCCGAGGGCTCTTGCGAGACACCTCTACCACACATCTAGCTTGAAACCGGCCAACGCCTGTTGCCCGCAGATGCGGGATAGGGTAGTTGACCGATAACTTTACTGGGTGAGTGCCGTGTGGTCTGCACCGGAGGACTGTCAAACACCCATAAGAGAGAGACAGTGGCCCCCCGCCACTCACCCCCATACCTACAATATCAGCTACTTGCACACAACACATTAAAAACCCTTCAACCCAGAGTTCGTGTGGAAAGGAAAGAGTCAATAAGTGACAAAATATTCAAATGGAATTCAGATCTAAATCCAGATCTGAAAGTAGGATTCATAACTGTAGTAAGAAATGGCTTCATTGAAAGGTGCAGTAGACAAAATAGAAACGAGTTATGAATTATAATTATGTTAATGTGCACAAACTATATTGATCCTAGATGACGATTATTATTTTACAGAAGTTTCAGCAGGAATTATGGAATAATATTGCACCTGCTATTATTTTGGGAAACGAAACGTTTTTTGGAAATTCTTGCATGTTGATTTGAAAAAATTTACATCTTTATGTCAATCCAAAAGTTGATAGTTATTTAAACATGGTGAACGATTTTTTTTTCGAAGTTTCAAAATTTTCAACTCCACTGTCAACTTTACAAATTGGTTACGGTTCATATAATGCACGGAAATCTGTCTCATTTCAATTGGGGGCTAACAACACTGATGTCTACATTCGTAAGGAAAATGAAGATCGCGTATCTGCTATCGAAACATCAACGGAGTTGGATTTAATGAAATATTTGTTTTGTCAATTTTCACTTTCTGAATTAAAGCTTGAAAGTGGGCACAATGATACAATTCAGTGGCAACTTTCATTTTATAAATATTACTTAAAATAAATAAAGAAGGTTATATTTTTATGAGTGACCAATTTTTTGTAAAAGAAAGTTTTTGGCTTTCTACTACTACATGGATGTGTAGATCATACAAAGAAGTAACTTTCAGACACAAAATGGAAGAAAAAGCCTTCCTGAAACAGCTACTTCCTTTCTTTGGAAGATTCCCACATTTTTTGTATTAAGATAGAGTAGCAGAAAGCCAAAAATGTTCTTTCCCAAAAATTTACTTGAAATGTTATCATAGAAAATTTGGTTCAATATTCTGGCGTTTAGGAATGAATGATATGAGATTGAATAAATTGATATTGTTCTTTAATTTTCTCCTTAGGAAAATTTATCTAGTTATAATTTGAACATAAACATCCATATGTTTCAGGTTCTATGTTCTGGTAACAAGGATACGTTAGCCTGGTATCCAACGACATCTCACGTACTTAGAAATGAATTGGAGACTTCATCAGTGAATCCTGTGATTGGGGGTCAGAATGTACAAGATGACATACTTTACATAGGAAAATATGTGGATACATTAGCAAGGACAATACATTTTGGAAGCATTTGCGATAGTTTGCTGCACTTACATTACAATTATAATAACGTTGATAAAATTCAATATCATTATGAAATACTGATATCGAATGATAAGTGTAATAAATAAATGAAAGCAATACTGAAATAAATATATTATATAAAAGCGTAGGTGTTAATTATACAATTTTAGATAACAACAAATAATATTTTCAGCTCATTTCTCAACAGATCAAATAGGTATCCTTCAATAAAATCACCTATATTTCTGAAGAAAATTTCTTCTTGGTTTGAAGCATAAGGGCAACTTTGTCGCTCACTATCCAGTATTCAGTTTCAAATGACAGAAAAGGAAATAAGAATAGCTCTAGAGTACTTCAGGAGGAGATTTGAGCCGGTTCTGAGCCTCTTCCCACCACTAAGACGTCACGTGGGGTGGATGACCTAGACCGACTCATGTGACCTTGAAAAATATGTCTGGTGCATGCCACCTTGAAAAATATGTATGGTGTATATGACCCTGAAAATACGTCTGGTGCATAGGTGGTATGTGTATGTGTAAACCAGCCGGTTCTGGGCCTCCCCCCACCACTTTGACGTATTAATTGCTTTTTTTTGTTATTTAGTAACATCAAGGCGATATGACCTTGGAGGGTCTGGTGCATGGATCGTTCAGAATTTTTTTCATATGAGATTTTGTGTGTGTGTGTGTGTGTGCGTGTGACAGTGATGTAATTACATTTGATTGGTGTGTGTGTGTGTGAGAGAGAGAATGCACGGTACAGGGTTTCATCATGTACTTGTCTATGTACAAACAGACGTCTGCATACTTCGAAGATCCTTCAAGTAATGGATGTTCCATCGGTGTGAGCCCACCAAGTTAGTAGTGGTGTGACGTCACAGCATCAACCGTTCAAAGGTGAGAGAGCGAGATGTTCACTCCAGTGCGGCTGAGTAATGCGTATTCATCGGTCTGCCCTCACCTCTCCCGATGCGATGAAGGTTGTGACGTAACGCATCGCTCTAGCCTCGCTATCGATGGTGACACGCAGACGGCCGAGGACTGTGCTAACGTCTGCCCTCTCCGAGAGCGCATCGATCACTGCCAGTCCGTATCGACATCTGTTATCGCATGCAGTTGGGAGGTGGGTTCGGCTGTGACGTCAGGCATCTCTAGTAGGTATTAAAGTAGGGTGACCTGAAGAGATTTAAATAACGTGCATTTGTATAGATAATATTGTAGAATCTCGTGAAGTATTAATCTGAAAATTATCAACTTGAGCTGTGCCAAGGTATGGTTAGGGCGAATTGGATAAATATAACAATTGACAGGAATTCTCCCTATTATAGCAGAATTTGACCTCACATTTTTGCTTTGAAACCTCATTGAACTATTGAGGCCCGCGTCGGACTGCAAAGTTAAAGGTTATAAAATAATTAGAGATAAGTAATGAGAAGAGTTCATTGCATGTATTCAAATGATTCAACATGAAACAAACCAATAAAGCACAAGTGATAAGAAATGAGAGTTCAGAGAGTGAATTCTTGTTGCTTGTAACTATACAATGGAATTTAAGATCTGAATCTTGTGCAATGTTATATTCATGATGACGAATAAGAGAACAGTTATTATTCAGGTCTATTTCATGTACGGAAAACACTGAAGAGAGTGAAATTGAATTACAGAATACATATTCGGAAGAGAAATAAATATATTAGGATTTGGAAAAATCTTGAGGTTTGGTTAGAATTTAAAAATTGTCGAAAGAGACAACTGCTTTGATGGGCCGATTTTCTATAGTTTGTGCCTGTATTTCTTGGTTCCGTATGTCAAAAACTTGTCGATTTTGATATTGCACGTAGCTTTTGCATTCCGTTTCGACCTTCACAACTTATGACATCAGCGTAACTATAACTGAAAAGTAGGATGTTCTATCACTTTGATCGAAAATAAATTAATTCACCTGTCATTGCCAGATTTACCCGTCAAGTTTGGTTTGACTTTGAAATAAATGCAAGGTTATTATCTGCCCCAAAACAGATGCGTAGACTCAACACATAACATTTTACAGGAGAACAGACTGACATTTCTCACGCATATGCATGTCTAACATGAACTAGTTACCACATACTCAATGATGATTCAAAATGCTACACTACATTTTTTCTTGAAATATAATTTCATTACAATTTGAAGCAACATAGTGGATGATATTGACGTAATTTCAACTGAAACGTGGGTATCGCCCCACTTTGGTCCCTTTTTTCCACACATTGGTGAAATCTGATGGTGAAGTTTGGTTTAACCTTTTGTTTGTTTGGTTTCTCGAGAGTCGAGTTTTCATGTATGCCGATGACAAAACATTGTGACGTCCCCAGATCTGAATGAAATGAAACTAGTAATTAATGAATTCGAATGTTGGTGTAGAAACAATCATTTAATAAATAATGGATATAAAACAACATTTATCCAGTTTTCGAATAAGTATCAGCGCCCTTTCCAAATAAACCTAGGTTTAGAAATAACAGAATATACAAAATTCCTTGGAACACAACTTGACAATGAATTGTCTGTCAATAATCACATCGAATACTTGTGCACTTCTCTGAAAAACGTATTTTGCCTTCCTAACAATGAAATTGAATTTTTTGAGACATAATCTCTTGGATATATACTATGGTCTAGTGTATTCCATTTGGGGACACTCATCAGAAATAAATAGAATCTTTATAAGGAAAAAACGCTTCATTAGACTAATATTTGATCTCAAATACAGTGAATCTTGTAAGAAAACATTCCAAGACAAAACATTTTTCACATTACCATGCATTTATCTTTACAAAAGCTACCGTTCATTTACATTCCCATTTGCTACCAAGAAATTAGGAAATTCACTGTCATTAAACGAGACGGAGAAACGACTTCCATCAGGGAAAAATAAACCATAATGAGTACAGAGGTTCGCCACTTTATGCTGGGGCAAAATGTATTAACAGCACAGTGAAACACATTTTCTCATATTCAAGAAAAAAGTCAAAGACTTTTTGGTAACAAGTTGTTTTTACTTCCTGATAGAGTATGAAAATGATATTTTTGTGTAACATGTGCTGTTATTGATATAAGTGATATAAGATAAAATATCTTTTGTAAAATGTGACGTGTCATATATACATTCATGTATCAAAAATGATGATTAAAATTTGACTTTGACTTCTCCGCTAATGTCATGCTAGATGGAGATTTGTAGACATGTAGTGTCAACACTTGACATTTTACAGGAGAACTGACTGATATTTCTCACACATATGCATGCCCTACATGAACTTCCGCATGCTTAATTCAAAATGTCACACTACGTATTTCTTTTCGAAACATAATTTATAACAAATCTGAAGTCATATTGTAGATGATACTGATATGATTTCCACTGAAAAGCAGGTTTGTTCTCACTTTGGTCTGTTTCTCCCCCACCATGTCAAGATCTGACAGAGCAGCTTGGTTTGAGTTCGAAACTGAACGTGAGTTTACTCACTGCCCAGGTTATGCTAGACGAAGATTTGCGGAGTTTCCAAAAGAGATGAGTAGGGTCATGCCATTTTGCAGTAGAATGGATTGATATTTCTCACACATGCATATGCTCGCCTAACAAGAACTTTCACGTATTGCAATACAATCTAATCATTTGAAATTCAACACTATATTGCAGTATCTGACAGTGGAGTGTGGAGTGTGGAAAATCATGCTAAAAGGGGTTTGGAAGTTCTCCAAAACAATGTATACAGACACAACACACCATTTTACAGCGAAAAAGACATATTTTTCACATCTAAATATATTCTCGACATGTCGCAATATACATGTTTCAATTTGAAATATATTACTATCTTCTTCTTAAAACCCAATATTATCCAAGATTCAAATCAATATACCATATGACGTAAGCGTGTATTCAACTGAAAAGGAGGTATTTCCACACTTCAACCTGAAAACTGATTCCTCCTCTCCACCATTTCATGATCTGAACTTGAAGTTGAGTTTGATCTTCAACTTGACTACGTGGTCATTTTCTGTCGATGTCCTGCTATACTGGTTTGTGAGTCCCCAAATTTTACATAATGCACACATTTTTCGTACATACCCACGCATGCTTCACACCATGCATGCTTATGCTTATGGTATAGTATTTTCCTCGAGAGAATTCTTCTGGTTGAAGCTGCAATGATTCTGCAACCGTGTTAGGAATCACACGTTAAAAGGTAAGACCTCGTTAGTCCTTAGCTCGCACAAGTTTTTCAACTTCTGAGAGTTGTCGTTCGTATGGGGGCGATAGCTGATTAACGGAAAAACATATTTCAAACAGAAACAGAACATTTATTTGCTGCATGATAAAGATACAGTAATGTAACTTGTCGCTATCGAATTGGGTATTGTAATAGCGCGATAAACATTTTTACTATTGTTCCTGTAAATATAGTGTTTCAGACTAATATGTCATCATAGAAATTCATTTTTTTGATATACTATGATTCCATAAGACGTGTGTCTCAATAGCAGATTTTATTCATATTCATATTTGGTCACATTACTTCTAACGCAAAGTTTTCCCCGCTAGGTAGTGATGTTTCTAATTTACTGTTCGAGAAATATTTTCTGGCGCTCCATTTCGGTCAATCAGTTATTGTTGAACCTGCTTCTAGAATTTTGAAAAATGTTTGCTGATGTGATGGAATATATCGCATCTATCTTGAGCCTCATAATAGATGAATACAAGGAGAACACAGTGAAGGATGGACTTGAAGAGTGTTATAAGGCTTCTGAACGAATAAAAAAAGATCTGAAAAATACTACTATTATGGGTGGGAAACAAAATCTACTAGCATTCTTGGTCAATATTACAATACTACGTATTCAGATGAAATTTGAGATGAAGAAAGGAGCAGGCCTGATTAGCCGGAATGAGACAGCCTCTAATCGAGTACATTGGGATGATTCAGAAATTCTGAATTCTGAATTGAGAGCCGATCCTGAATCAGAATCGGCTTTCAATTCGCGTATCCGGACTGAAGTGATTAATAATCTCAAGCATAAGAACCCTACCTCATTATTGATCGACTGTAAGACCCTTCTTGTGAAACTAATTCAAAATGCATTGAAAAAAGATGCAT